CGTTGCCTCATTTGCATCTCGTTTGCATGCATCCACAATATCTGCTATTATATCAGATAAACATTTGAATTTTAAGAAATTAATTTTAATTTTTGAATCATTCTGTATCATTTCGTATCGTATGTCATTCCACATTTTAGGACCTTGAAAACGAGCAGAAACATGCCATAATTATTTCTTTGACAGATTCAATGATTGCTTTGTAGAAAATCTAGTGTTATAGCGTTTTCAACGGATGACGTCACTATTGTGCATTTTAGGATTGAAATGGGACAAGACAAGCCAAGCCAAGCACACATACTAATATATTGCAACAATGTTTTGTTGTCTCATTGTTTCCATCTAGTGGGAAAAAATTTGGTTTGACGACTGATATTATTCTTCTTTTCCATGTAACCGAATCCTTTGTTTAAAAAGTTTGTCAAATCGAGTCCACAAGACTTTTCGTCTTCGTCACTCATTGAGCATTAGATTAGCGTTAATGAAATCAAACAAACTTTTTTATACATAAGCTTTTCGGGTTCGGGTTGAGCTAAGCATGGTCTAGCTGACTTTAAACAACCCAGAGGTTGTTTCAGGGTTTGATCTCTGAGTTAGCAGTGCACTGACTTAGATCAGCCCAGAGGTTGTTTCAGGGTTTGATCTCTGAGTTGGCCATGCCTTGACTTAGGATCAGCCCAGAGGTTGTTTCAGTGTTCTATCTGTGAGTTAGCCATGCCTTGACTTAGACCAGCCCAGAGGTTGTTTCAGGGTTCGATCTGCGAGTTATTCGTGCTCTGACTTTGATTAGCCCAGAGATAGTTCTAGGTTATCAAATTTGAATTTATTTGAATTTGAAATTTTGAAGGTTTTTAGGCCTGTACTGTTGCTCTCACACGTTTGTGAGACTTTATTTTAGAATAGTTATCACACAGGCAAGCTATGTAAGGATCTTGAAGTTTGGGTTTTGGATTAATAACTTACTTTATCTTTTCCATTGAATTTATAAGTAACATAGTTAATGCCATCTCTACTGTACTTGAACAGAAACTCTTGGATGAAGGTTTCGCAGCAAAATCTTCCCTGGACAGCAACAGCACTGATGCCCTTTGCTGCGCGACCGACATTAATTTGTAGGAAGTCATCATTCGTGGTTGAAAGAATACAAAAATATTTGGAAGGGCCAGATCTGTTCAATCGAGAGCTGGGAAGATTGCCTGAATCTGTTGACGCTTCAATATTTCGCAAAGGAATATTGTAGTTCTCCATTCCAAGAGGATCGCCACATTCTTGAAGGGTAAGAGGCAAATAGCTTAGTTCATAGAATAATTTAAGCTTCATACCAAGGAATTGTATGTGTAAGAGAGAGAGAGAGAGAGAGAGATAGTAAAGTGGTGGGGGTGAGGGGCGGACAAACAATCAAACAAACCTTCACATCCTAGGAGCTCGATCCTCAAGCAAATATGGTTTTGCCAGGTTTTGGGATGAATGCGTATAAATCTGCCTTTTACTTCTGTGTTTATTGTAACAGTCTCAATGCGATACCCATTTGTATTGCCTGAAAATATCTAAAGAGCATAGTCCACATAATATTAAAACAAGATACGTGATGAACGAATCGATTACTAATAAGTACTTTGCCAATTTCCCGGAAATACTACTGGATACTATGATAGAACTCCATGTACTAGAACATAATAGAGCAGAGTTTTAGGTAATTTTATTACTACATGGCAACATTGCCGTCCAAGGTATTATGCATACCATGAATATCTCATTAAAGCAGCCCCAGAGTTATTATCTTATCTTTTTACTAACATACTATTTTACTGTTGCAGCATACTGGTATCATACTAGTATTTACTGCATAAGGGAATTCAATATAACCAATCAACCCCAAAGGTAGTAGTACTTGTAGCTTACAAGATGGTTATCCATAGGGGTTATTAATGATACGATATCTTGATATCTGATAATAATAATAATAATATAATAATATATATGGCTTATATAGCGTTTATACAAGTCTGTTCTAAGCGCTTAGTAACCTAACGTTAAAGGAATAAATAAATAAGATAGATAACTTAAATAAATGAGTATTGAGTTTAGATTTAAATAAAGATAAACTGTAAATATCTCTGATATCTTATAATAATAATTATTATAATAATAATAATAATATATATAGCATTTATAGCTTATATAGCATTGTTACCTTGCAGAGTCGTACGCACTTTTCACCTAGGTTTATTCCTTTATTAGCAGTGGAATATGGGAAGACGAATAATTAATGCGCGCGAAGGCTATTTATTTACACAAAAAACTCACTAAATCATTTTCATCAACCACAGCGCGAGTAAGAGAAGCGACTGGGTACGAGTGTTGTTACCTTCCAAACCATCATACACGACATGAATTTTCAACCAGCCCTAGGTGTATTGCTATTTTTGATAAGGTATTTTTGTGCTAGCAACTTTCAAGATGGCTGCATAGGGGTTATTAATGTATAAAAACATGGATTTGTACCTTAACAATCTCGCCTTCCAAAACGTCTTGCCAAGAAAATCCATCATCACTATAGGATAGCGTGAACGTTTTAACCCAGGATTCGGGTATGGTAGGCAAATCAGTCTGAGATCCTTTGCCTTGGATTTTAATTTTCGTGATTTTGTGTTTTGAGAGAAGATCGACTTGGAGGAACTGATTGGCATCGTTTAACCTGCAATTAATTTGCAATGTATCAGGCGTTTTGGAGATATTTTCTCTCCCTAACACATTTAGAATAGCCATAGGCAATCTAGATTTTCTATTAGATTTGCGGCGATATGTTCGATCAATTCAGATAGGGGACCCAAAGCTGAGCTCTGAGGAACACACAAATCATTTATTTATCTTTAATAGTTTGGATCATAACACCCTAACCAAAGCCTTGTGAAACTATACCAGTCGCGATTTAGGGATCCGAGTTCTGCGTTGGGTTTGTCGTTGGACCCAACGACCCAACAAGGCAAACATCAATATAAGGTATATGAGCTTACTTCTGATCACAGTTTTGTGTCTATGAAGGAAAAGGTGCTTGTGCGCATGCGCATCTATCGTTTTATCATAGGTCACGTGGCCTTTGATATTTGCACCATACTCTCACCTCCTGCATTTAATACACACCAGCATTCTTTTACATTTTCATGTTTCCTCTACCCTTTTTTTTTTTTTTTTTTTTTTTTTTTTTTTCCTTTTTTTTTTTTTTTTTTTTTTTTTTTTTTTTGCTAAAGCCATCTTTTCCTTTCTTAACTTATAACTTCCTCATTCCTGATGCTCCGTAACCTGCGCTGTTGTATAATAATTTTCTCCCATATCGATAGTTAACCCGGCGCCACCCGGAGTCCATGCAAAACTATCGTTTTCAAGACCATAACTATATTCACTATTCCGTAATTTAATAAGTTACA